GTTCCCCGCCGGCCCCTTCCTGCCGCGGCCGAGCTCGGGCGGCGGTGAGCGGGCTCGGTGATCCGCCGCGGGCAGCGGGTGCCCTGGGGTGGGCACGGCATCGAGTCGTGCGGGCATCTTTGCCAGGCATCCTTTTCTTGAAAACAGATGGCTAAGGTGGGTGTTAGGATGCGCTTATGATGCTATGGAAGTGTTCAGTGCAGTGGGGACTGAGTATATATTTGCTGACAGAGTATTTGCAACTTTATTCTTTGCCACTTGCGTTAATGCAGACACCATCACCCTCCAGAGTATCCATCGTAGCATAGATATCAGGTTGGAATTTATGAAGTTACAGCTTGCTGTCTGAGCATTTCGGTAGGCCTGTCATTACTGTGTTTTGCAAGCTGCTTTAACCGTATCACTTAAGAAAAAAAAATACAGACCTTTTCTGAGTAACTATGACAAAACAGTCATTAAGTCTTTCATGCTCTGCTTTGCTAAAGGTAACTGAGTGCTTAAATAGGGGTGAGCACAAAATAGCCTTTGTTCGTTATCCCTTCTAGCACAGTTGGAGAAAGGAAGTAATTCTCACCGAATACCTGTCTTCTGTCTAGCAGATTTTACAGTCCTCAGACTCTGTTCTTATGCCTAGTGACTTTAAGAATATAAATTTGGACAACATGACTTGGCATTAAAATCCCAAGATGTTCTCTTTTATTTGATTTACTCTTCATGCTTTGCTGACTATTAATGCCTTTTAAATTTGAAAGGTGGTGTCCGGTGGCTTATCCAATAATGCTTTATCAGGCACTCCGACTCTCATGACAGTCTTGTGACAATTGTATGTTGCCTGTCCAGAAGGGGAAAGCTTGCTTTGATTTTTGAGTCAGCTGTGCGTTTGACTGCAGTTGGGACTGCATATCATCTGCAGCCCATCCATCAATTGATTTGGCTGTGAGCTAATTTAGCAAGTTATGCACAGCAGCTATGCCAGCTGTGTTGTATAAGCTCTAACACCTTCATAACAGAGGGTGGGAAGAAAGCAGATCTACAGGTAACAGCAGAAGCCTGAAAAATCATGTCGCTCTTGCAGCAGAATTTGTCTAACTTCTGACTTTGCTGGAAATGGTTTACATTTTCTGTGTATTTCAGTAGGTACTGGGGGTGGTAGAAGGAAGAACTGCTAAATCATAGGTGAAATCTCATGTTTACTCCGTGAACCATTTCTTGAAAGTACTTTCAAAGATTAGAGCTTATCAAAGCATTTTTCCATGATGTGAAATATTCCTTCTGAACACATGAGATTAATTTGAGAATAGCACAGGTAATAATCTATTTCTAAAACTTCAGATGTCTTTGCATTGTGAACACTCGTGTCCCACACTGTTATCCAGCATCCTTGAAAGCTAAAGTTCTTCAAGCTGAAGAATATAGTATTTTGCATTTTTGTGGGTCACTTTGTGCTATGTTTTTCTTTCTCTAAACAAATTGCCACAACATAAAGACTTCCTTTTTTGCTTCAAAACGTTTGAAGCAAGTGGTTTTGCTTTTACTTACAGTTTTTCAGTTTAAGGTGTCTCTTAATGAACATTAGGTTAGGCGCAGATGAAGTTTCTAGAGAAAGATGTCCCCAAGACAAGAAAAATGTAGGCAAAACCAATAACAATAATAAATTATTTCATTGGCTATTATACTTTTTTCGAGTCGTTGCTCCACTGGCAACTCAGATGAACATTGCTGGTTGCCATTTTAGATGAAATTTGTGTTCAGAAGCACAGTTATGCAGTCGTATCCATCCGACATGGAAGTATGGACTGCTTCTGAAATCTGGCTCAGCCAGCTCCCTCTGTATGTCAGTGCTTAGCAAAATCAATTCCCAGAGCCAATTTGTACAGCAGGCCCTGGCGGTTGTGCGTGTGAGGGACGTGATTGTGGTGGGGGGCAGGACTTTGTCTTTTGGCAGCAGTCTGCTGGTGTGTTTTGATGACTGTGGAAGACCCCCTCAGGCTCAGGATGCTTGGCCTGGACTTTCCTCCCTCAGAAGCTGGTGTTTTGCTTTTCTGAAGCTCAGCATTACTGATGCAAGATCTATTTTATTTCTGTTTATTTAAGCATGCTATTAATAAGAAAGAACTCTACCCAGTTTATAATGATTCTTTCCATAATGTGGAGAGTTGCACGTGTATTAGTTGGCTTGTGGAGCTGCATTAGTGACATCTAAAAAGCTAAATATTTCCAGTGTTGCAGTTGCATTTTCTCACTGTGCAAGTTTAAATGTTCAGTGAAATGGCAAAGTAGGTTTCTGTGTGACTTAAAAGTTTCTTCTGAAATTTACTTTTATTGCTTTTTTAAGTCTGTTGCTTTATTACTTTATTTGTATGTCAGTATTGTTATATTACTAGATTGATACTGAAAGTCAAATTTATAACTTCAAAGTTTTGTAAAAGAAATCAGTGCGCACTTGTCATTACAAGTGACAAATTTGATGTTACATCTAAAGTCGCTAGCTCAGAGTTTGTTACTTTGCAGCCTCTGCACTGTTTGGCTGTTTTTCGGTTTTCATTTAATTTACTGGTGAAAATACTTAGAGCAGTAGACTGTCTGTGCCTGAAAATGTAGTGATCTCTAAGGTGAGTTTAAAAATCCTTTCCTGAATAGCTCACCATGTACTGAATTTCAGGACCATTTTTGATGGGTTAACATGTGCTTGTTGCTTTTACTGCTGGATGGCAAGAAAAAAGCTGTCACGTTGGCATGTTTCTTGCTCTGTTTTGCTTGAAGGAGATGGAGGAGGGGATCCAAGCACTGAATTCCTGACTTCATTTAAGCTGGAGCAGTCCAATGGCGGCGTTTGATCGGCTTCTCTCCAGTCTGTTGTTTTTTCTGGGAGTATGCCGGCAACAGCTGCTTGAGCTGAGTAAATGCCGCTTCCCACACTTGTTCACAGCCCATCCCAGTGGGTCAGGAGTGCTGCTGCCTAAGGAGTGAAGAGCAGAGGGGCAGCTGTGTCCGAGGGCAAAAGTCCAGTTCTCTGTGGTAGGTAATGGCAGCGCTTACCCAGCCCCAGCGTTCTCCTTCAGCTTACGCTCTAGCAGCCAGGGAAGGCTGGTTGTGGTTGGAAGGGGATGTGTGGCTGCTTGCTCAGGAAATAGCCTGCAGTCTCAAACGCAGAGCTTTCCCTTGCAGATGCCAAGTAGGGACTACTGTGATTAAGCATTTAGACTCTGAGCAGTCTGGGTGTGCCCTCAAGGTCTCATAAGACTAAGGCTTGCTGTACAGCATCTTCTGCTGAGAGCTGAGATCTGTGCTGTAATAGTGTTTGTCCCTGGGCCCTTCGCTGGTACTGACAATGTCTGAGACACACCACTCCAGCCCAAGCGTTCTAGTGCAAGCATTCTGGTTTGGGGTTTTATATTAGTAACGTGACTGTTGAAAGCAAGTGCTTATACTTGCTTTGACAGAATTTCTGAATAAGCTAATGGCCGGTCTTATTTTTTTTTCCCCTAACAGTGTAGAAAATTATTTCTGTTTTGAAAACAAAAAATAATATTAATGTGAGTCTTACTTTTCCTTTAGCGTTCATCTTTGTCTTGCCTCACTGGATGCATGCAGCAGCTTCCTTACTTTGGCGGCCATTTTCTTAAGCTCCATTTGAGAGCAGCTCCTGCCTTTTTGGAACACTTCAGCTTTTTTTTTTTTTTTTTTTTGGTGTCTTATTTGTCCAACAGAAGGCAGAATTAATTTTCTCGTACTGTTCTTAAATCAGCAAGTTGGAAACTATTAAAGATTGAAATGCAAAACTAATACTAATGTGTATTCTTTTTAAGAAGTTGTTTGTCGCCGGTAGCCATTAAAACACAATGATAAATATGACTTTGCATTGAACTGCTATGTCTCATTAGGCATACTTGCACCTCTGTTATGTGATCTAATTTTGACATTTAATACACTGTATAATTGTGGTCAATGTATTTACTTTTTCTAAGGCAATTATGTTTTTGGTTTTTGATTAATGTTTATGTTTTGGGGAAGAAATTAAAATCTGTTACTTAAGGCAAAATTCTGAAAGCTAAGTTTAGGCTGATGTGATAGGGCAAGTGCACTATCAGAATACGTTTCACCTTTAAAGGAAAAGAAGTAATATGTGTAGACAGGAATTTGAGTGTTTCAGATTAGTTTCTTCAGCATATTAGAACTAATAGGTTTTACACCATTTTCCGTAGTTTTGGTAGAATTCTTGCATTTTTAACTTAAATTGCAGAAACTAGATT